GCACGTTTAGCACGGTGTAGAAAACATTCACCTTGGACCAAACTTCAATAGATCACCATACTTTACATGTGAGTCGAAATTCAGTCTGGCCAGTGATTCTTGGTGTGCCTGTATCTGGAGAGAGCTTGGAACACGATACCATCATTTCCTCAACAGGGAAAAAGATCATTACTGTGGTGGACGTGTAATGGTTTGAGCAGGCATTATATTGGGCTGCTGCACACTCCAGCATTCCGAAGTTGGAAAACTTACTTGCTTCAGTAATGTAGTCGATTATCACAGGAACTCCTCGTCTGTCTCCTGTCCAGTATGCCGTCATGCTGAGCGACTTGTCTGCCTATGGGAGAGGACCATGTGCCATATTATACTCGTTTTCAGATCGATATCACAACGTGGATTCTGCCCATCCCTGGACCATGAGCTTTACTGATAATCATGCTAATATAAAATAACTTTTGAATGCTACATTCCTTTTCTCTGTTATAAATGTATATTCAAACACAGTTTCATTTAAATCTGTCCATTACTTTTTCAAAAATTGGACACAATGTGCAAATTCTCTTAATTTTGCACACAAAAGTGGTTTTTGTATTAAATTTACTATTACCATAAGGCTCCAAAAATAAGTTGTTCTCGAATGTTTTTAATCCGTAACAAATACTCTTATCTTGCCTTCCGATTATTTGGTGGCCCTTTCTGGGCGTTGTCAATCGCTTGTAACTGCCATATAGGAACCGCATATTTCTTGCAATTACGATTTTTATTCGAACATTTGAAATATTTGTGACGAAAGTTGAGACACCTCGTACTCCTTTACTTTTATTTTAAAGCAGTAAAATAACATACACATCACATATTGAAAAATTTAGAAAGCCTATGGGCAAAAGGCGCAAGAATTCGGAGGTGACAGAGTTTATTCCATCTTGGGCTGAATAAAGATTTACGTACAGAAAAAGTAAAACAACTGTTCAATGCTTTGTAAAAATATGTAAAATTTTCTTATGTATAATTACTACAAAAGCAATCATTAGTGAATTATAATGGAATAACGCAGAAGGATAAATTCCCATCCCTGAAAATTGATCATCAAATGAAACATGATGTCACTCAAATATCCAATAAAAGAGGAAAGTCTCTGACATCACCTTCAAAGTTTATGTGTTCCTAGTGTGAACGAAGTACTTTCTATCATAGCGTCAAATTCTATTTCTGGCTGAGTAGCACTCAACAGATTATTGAACTTGTCATAAGGAAATTTGACATTGCTACGAAAGGGTGATTTTCTGGGTATACAAATCCTTTCCCCTTTCAATCTTCTTAAAACACTAAGCTGACTCTTAGCAGAGTCAACAAAGGTAACCATTTAGGGCGTAGATTTTCGAATGGCGCTAGCTAAGCAAGCTGCTCTCACAAACGAAATACATATTTTAAAATTAGGCACACACACACACACACACACACAAAAAAAAAAAAAAAAAAGAAAAGAAAAGAAAGAAGAAAAGAAAAAAGAAATGAACATCTACAAAAAATTAAGATTCTTTTTTGCCTAATTTTAAATTCTCCGTTATTTTATTTCAGTTTGTTTAAGATGCACTTTGCTTAGCATTATTAGCCCAAAGACCTTTAGCTCAGAAGCGCTATTAATTTCGTTTTAGCATTTTGTGACGTTTCACTATAAACGGCGTTTCACTTTTCAAATTGTTGCCACCAAATATTATCGGCCAGTATTATATTTAAAGAAATTAAATAATGAAGGATCTTCAAAAATGTATGTATGTTTCTCGAATTGTGATAAAACAACGGAACCTAGAGCCATCAAGTTTTGATAAATTTACGTCTCCACCCGCGTATGGGCATTTTGAATTTGCTTTATTATCTACTTCATACATTCTAAAGCATTTATGAGTTTTTGATTAAGAAACTCAACGATTCCAAAGCAAGCTTGTAGAGACATTAGGTTTATTTTGAAGCAGGAGGCGGGAAAAATGAGCAATGCCCTCGCCGGGGCTTGAACCTCGGATCTCTCGAATACGCGCCGATTATGCTGACCGAGTCATTTTCTACAAAATGGCACAGCGAAGCTATGCTAAGAAGGCGAGAGAAATACCTTATATACACCCCACTTATAAAGGGATACTGGGACCCAATCTCCAAATCCTGGTGGTGGAGAATCACCATCCACTACATTTTTAGTTCGGGCGCCACTGTAGAGACATTAGGTAGTTTTGAAGCAGATGAAAAATGAGCAATGCCCTCGCCTCTCACCGGGACTCTTACCTTGGACCTCTCAAATAAGTCCTGTGTGTGCTGACTATTAGACCACGAAGGCAAGCTAAGAAGGTGGGCGAAATACCTTATAAACTCTACATCGCGGGAGACTGTGTATCGGAAATTCTAAAGATGTGCTCTTTTTAAATTATTTTGTGATATTGCTCTTGAATTGAACTTTTATGGAACTTGAATGGTTTAAATGCGGAGAACGTGATATTTAATAAATAAAGGTAACACGCAAAACGTTTAGAAAAATCTCCTTTGGGGGTAATGTAAAACTTGAAAATTTTCAGATATTTTTAATATGTTTAATTCAATTTAATTCATGCAGGGCGCCAGTTGTACTTATCGCCCAACTCATCAAAATTTCTGTAGATCGGTCTGATGTAAGGTATAAGAAAACGAACATACTAAATATGAAAATTTCTCATTTGAATTTCAAAATTTGATGTCCCTAGGAACCGTTGTTTTTTCACAATGCGAGAAACATGCATACATTCATGCGGATTCTTCATTATTTAATTTCTTTAAATATAATGCAGGGCTCTGATATTTGATGGCAACAATCTGAAAAGTGAAATGCCGTTTTGTAGTGGACGACGCAAACTGCCAAAATGAAATTAATAGCCCTTCTGGGCAAATTGTCTTCTTGGCGTAATTTTTTTTTTCTTAAATAGTGTTTTATTTAAATCACTCGAGCACAATCACAAAAACGTGTGATTACAAGAAAAAGCGTATCATTTTAGTGGCAGAATGCAGATAAGTGAAATTATTACTTTTTTCTGCTATCCTCGATGAATAAATTAAAAGTCATTTTCTACAAAATGCCAGAAGTTCACTTAAAATGTATTAGACCTTTGTATCCAATTTACTAAAATACTAAAATATTTTACACTTCCATTTAAGGTATTTTAATCACTTTCCGAGAAATATTTTAGACCAACGCAAAATTACACTCATGTCCATAAATTAAGGATAATTCGGAGTCACGCGGAAATCGAACTCTAAAATAAAAATATCACCTGTAAAATCACTACACACATCTTCAAGAATCATATGCAAATTTCAGGAAGTAACCAGATGACACCGATGGTACGTCACAATGACGAGAGTGTAAGAGAGTGATATATAAGGAATACCAGCAAAGAAGTAAAATTGTTCGCAGGCGCTTTATAAGCATTTCAGTGCAATAACCGAATAGTTATGACACAAAGGACGCATTTGGATGATTTTTTACGTAGTAGAATTATCGGCCGTCTGGAATGTGGGCGTACCCAACTGGAAGTATCAGACGAACTTGGAATTGCCCAGAGTGCCATCTCCAGGCTTTGGCAACGATTCCAAGATGATGATAATGTGAGTAGGCGTTACAGCACAGGTCACCCCAGAGTTACAACGCCGAATGAGGACCGGTATTTGGCAGTTACTGCCAAAAGAGACAGGCGGAGCACAGCCTCAGACCTGTCTCGTCAGCTCTCTTCAGCCCCTGGCACGACAATTTCAAGGCAGACCGTGTACAGACGCTTAGAGAAGAATGGTGTATATGCTCGTACACCTGTCAGATGCATTCCACATACTGCAATTCACTGTCGCCTGCGGTTAGCCTGGAGTAGAGAGCATGCATTGTGGACACCGCAACAGTGGGCTTGTGTAATGTTTTCCGACGAGTCCAGGTTTAGCTTGCAGTCTGATTCTCGCCGGACTTTCATATGGAGAGCTCCAGGTACCCGTTACCACCAAGAAAACATCATTGAACGACACCGTTACGGTGGTGAAGGAGTGCTCGTTTAGGGTGGAATTATTTTAGGTTCCAGAACTGACCTGCATGTTCCAATTGGAACCATGACAAACCAAATCTATCGGGACGTCATTCTGGAACAACATGTACGTTTGTTTCGGGGCACCATGGCGCACATTTGTTTTTTTTTTTTTTTTTTTGTGTTTTTTTTTTTTTTTTTTTTTTTTTTTTTTTTTTTTTTATGGATGACAACGCCCGTCCTCACCGTGCAAACATCCTAAGCGAATGCCTTCAATCGGAGGATATCACCCGTATGGACTGGCCAGCATTTTCTCCGGACTTGAATCCAGTAGAGCACGTGTGGGACATGCTTGGCCGACGAGTTGTAGCCCGTCAACCTCCTCCTACATCTCTGCCGGAACTTCGGAGAGCATTGCTTTTTGAGTGGTGTAATATCCCCCAAGATCAGATCGATAATTTGATACTCAGCATGCCTAGGCGTTGTACGGACTGTATTGCATCGTCTGGGAGACATACAATGTATTAGCAATCATACCAACCATGTAATATTGTTTTTTTGTAAATAGGTTTTTTTTGTAATTTCCTCCAGGGAGAAAAAATTGCTAATTTTTATATCAAACATATAGCATCTTTTTTTGCTCATTACCTTTTGTTTAATAAATAAACTTTACAAATAAGTCAAATTTGTTTTGCTTCTAACTCTTCCTTTGCCTGCTTTTGCATTATCCTTAATTTATGGACATGAGTGTATATCATAATATATCAACAGTCACTTACAGAGAGACCTACACTAAAATACTTCACAGCCTAGAAACTGGCATGCTGCGAGTTTTTCTGCTTTCAAATACACTGCAAAATGTCCGATATTCAAACTCATTAATTCAATCTTGCTTCACCATTCAGGTTAAGTAAGGTTTAACTGCATGTTCCATGTTATAAACATCATAATAATATATTATTTTGTTTTCAGGTTCATTGAAATCCTTCAAGGAATGCGGAATGCCTGGATATTTTTGCTGCTTTTGTTCTTCTGTGATACGTTCTTCACTAACTTCGCAGCTTCTTTAGTGATTCATGTTTCATACACGAGGATGTTACGATTCCTTCGGACTATTCGTTTTTTGGTCAGATTAACAACTTTTATCAGACGAGTATGTAGGATTTTTTTCTCTCCGTTAACAGGACATTTAATAATTATATTTTTGATTCTAAATATTTAAAATATTTTAAAAAGAGAGTTAAGTTTTGATAGAGTCTAAAAAGATGGTCACTCTTTATCAATTTTAAACTAATGTATAAGCCGCCTAAAAATTTCCAAACGGTGACAATGAGGAAAAAATGTGTAATAAGATTATTACAATTTCCTAAAAATTTACAAATTTAGTATTAAGAAAATGCAAAGGATTGGATTGGATTATTCAATTATGGCAAAGCACACGAGGGCTATCTGCTTAAAGGGAGGGATGCCTTCGTGGAGGACTTTCTAAGGGAAAATGGCTCGTATACACGTTACACATGAGGAAAACCACGAAAACGCCCATGCAGCCAGCCCGTTCGAGGGATTCGAACCTCGGACCGAACTACCAGTGTTCAGCGTCTTTACCGCTCGGCCGCTGGTGGGCAAAATGCAAAGGAAAGTAAGAAAAGGAAGTAAAGGACAAATGCGAAAAAAGTAAAAAGTTTTCACGTCATGGGCTTATCATGACTAGTGAAAACAGTAGGCCGAAACGTTAATGACAGCTACGCAAAGAATTAAAAATAAAAATAAAAATAAATCAATATAAAACCTACACAACATTTTAAAACATCTTTCTTTATACTTATCATTATAGCTTTCAGATAAAGAATTCATACTTTTAAAATGCTCAATAGGGTGTAGACTACTCCAAATTTTTTTTGACTGTTAAACTTAATTGGAATTTCATTTTCTTTTAAAAGTTTTGTAAGAATTAAGATTTCTTCCTTTTGTATTCCTATTTCAGTATAAACCTTTTTAATTCCGTAAATTTGGTTCATTATTGTATTTGGTAAAATTTTTTTAGATGTGTTGGAGTTCCAGTTTATAAGTTGAAAAGTTAAATTTTTTTCTTTTATAAAGAAGTCTAATTTCTTTAAGATTATGTATACTAAGATCCAGATAGTCTATTACTGTTTGATTTTTATTGGTTTTATTATGACAGTCGGGGTAGATGTTGCAATTTTCTATGGGATTATAATTGTTGAAAGTAATAATGTCATCAATATATCTATAAATATGTTCGAATTTACCGAAATCGTTATCAGAAAGGCTCTTTAGGAATTTGAATTCTTTAGAAAATAGAAATAAGTTATGAAGATGAGTTGAATATGAACTTTCCGTTAGAATTCCATGTGTTTGCAGGTAAAGAAATTTTGAATGTTTCATATAGTTATCGTAAAGCGAGAAATGTAGAAATTCCTTCTTTTTTTGTAAATCCAGTATATTATTTCAGGGAAAAACGTGTTGTTAACTCCAGTAGACTTTCGTAAATTTCTTTAAGTGGTAGAGATTTTCACGTCATAGCAATCAGTCATAGCAGCAAGTCATAACAATTAATATTAGAAACTTGTAGATTTTAAAATTTTTCAGGTAATTTGCAAGTTGTCGTAGATAATCCAGCATTATTTTTAATCGGCTTTATCTTTGTCAAATACTAAGTTACAGATAGATTTAAGTAGATTAGTAAGAGTACTATCAAAATTCTTCTTGAAGTTTCTAAAACTGTTAGCTACAAATCTAAATTTGACAGGATTTTAATGAAATTTAGGTAAAGTATAAAGATTGGTAAATCTACTGTTTGTAGGAAAAAAATAAATTTTCCATTTTATACAAGCAGAAATTTTGTTAATAATAGTTCTTTCTTTATTTTTAGAGATACTGTAGGTTGCAGAATTTTTCAGCTCATTTTCAATATGTGAATTGTAGAACTTTTCATAAAATACTGAAATTATTGCTTGCTTTATCCTTAAGTACTTTAAATTAAAAATATTTTTCTTTAACTTTGGTTCTTTAAATAAATCCTGAAGTTTGAACTGTAGTAAATTAGTATTAACTTTTGTTATTTTAGCTTTGTCTTAGAAAATAACCTAAATTACGGTAAAGTTTATAAAGGAAAACTTTAACTCTTTGTCTTTGTGATGCTTAGTTCTAAACTCTAATTTTTCGAAAAACTGTTATAGCAGTAGCTAATAGCTGCTTAATAATATTACAGAAATGCAAATAATTTTTAAAAGAGAAATTTATAATTCTTCTAAGAATTTTCGCGCATTATGCCGATGAAAATTGATCAGTAAATAAATAAAGAAATTTAGAACCAAATTTTCCCAAAGACCAAAAATTGAAATTCATAAGCAAGAAATTTCAAAAAATCCTATAAATGTACAAAAGAACAATTTTAGTTTTAACAGATGTTAAAACTAAAATTCTTCAAACAATAAAACTAAATTCCAAAAATCAATAAAAAAATCTGATGTGTACACCACATGACTTCCTTGTACGGAATATTAAATTATATGCATTTTTTCTTGCATTTTATTTAAACTTATTAGATTGAATTAAATCCTACTTCGCCGACAACGCATAAACCACAATAGAATAAATGCATTCTTTAAAATTCACTTTTGTTTACCATAGCGACACTCTGGCGCTAGTTTACTTAACAGTATTATATTTCGTTCCTACTACAACTCTGAATGCACAAAATTTATATCATTTAAAGAATTATCTAATCGTTGCCACATGTTCTATTCAAATACTATAATAAAGCTAGAACTATGTATAAAAGAAATTAAGCAAACAAAACAAAAAAGAAACAGATTTTCACAGACGATTGAGTATTTCTCATTCAATTAATTCAGTTCTCACTTCGCGACAAGGCAAAAATAGTACATAAAAACTCAAAATATCTGTATTAAAAATTACGAAGTAAATCTTAAACGCTTATTTCCTCGAAAAAATTCAAGAAAGGATTAAGCATGATTTAATTGGCAATAATAAATGAATGCGTTATCTTTTTTGTTGCGAAGCTAAGTTTCTCTAGATTGGCAACAAATCCACTAGTCTCCTGTTTCAAATGTAAACAAACACCAATGGCCGCCATCAAATTAGGCTTAGCGGCACTTAAACAATTTTAAAATTGCTGATAATTCTAAAAATATTGCATACAGATTTACTAAAGACATAAAACCCTTAACCGGAAGATAAAAACAACATAACTCAATCATTTTTAAAGCAAAAAATGTACAATTTACAAACATATAAGAGTACAAAAACTGAGATCACTGAGCCGGGTAACAGAGTGGATATATTTATAAATATATTTATATACGTTTGGCGCGGCCGATTGCAACCAAAATATGAGGTGCACATCTACATGTTATAGTAGTCTTATATACAAAATTTCAACGTTCTGAGGCTACTCGTTTTTGCGTTATGCGAGATACGTACGCACGCACGTGCGTACGTACGTTCGTACAGACGCCACGAAAAATTCTCTTCAGAATTAATTTTAAAGCAGTTTTTTAGTTTTTTTTTTTTTTGAGGAAAAGAGTCTTTTATTCTGTCCTTACGTACAGATATCACACGAAAACATAGTTAAATTGCATTTGAAAGCGGTCAAAGTGCTTATTTTCGTTGAAATATGCTGCCTGAAGCTTTTCGCGATTACAATACTTCCTTTTTACTTCGTACAAGGAAGTAAAAAGAAAATGAAAGAAAAAGAATTCAATCAATTTCAGTGCCACGTGATCAGGAGGAGGAAACATTGAAATTAATTAAAATCTCTCTTCTATAAAACAATCTTTGCTTTTCTGTATCCAGAATTAGCTGATGAACCATTCCAATGTATTTTAATTATATAGTTCACCCAAAAACTCTGACCCCTCCCCAAAGCGGAGGAAAATAGTAAAACTACAAAGTAAAAAACATTGAAAATATCTTCCAGTTTGAAAAGATTTTTCTATTCTAAAAAGAATCTTAAATAAAAATGAAAACTTGCTCTTAAATATAGAAAAAATTACAATTCTACAGTGAAAAAGAATTTTTGAAATTTCAAAATAGTCTTAACATAAAACTTTGCTAGAATCTCTTATCAAACACCAGTGAAAGCGAAGGAAAATATCAGAAATACAAAGTAAAATATTAAAAAAATCTTCCAGTTTAAAAAATTTTTATAAAATAAATCTGAAATGTTTCAGATTTTAAATTACGTCCAACGGGCTGTTTTTTAACGTTTTGTATGTTACTTTTATTTATTAAATATCATGTTCTTTGCACTTGAACCATAAAATTCAGTTCAATAGCAATGTCGTAAAATAATTTTAAAATGAGCATATCTTTAGAATTTCCTATACACAGTTCGACGCGCTGAAGATAAAAAGGTTCCCCCCTCCCCGTGGAGTGTTGCCATTCCTTGCTTTTAAATCGTTGAGATTGCTACTCAAAAATTCGTTAAAATTTTACAAAATATAAAATCGATAATAAAACAAATTCCAAATTTGTGGGATTTCAGATGCCCATATCGCAGTAGGTTACGTCATTCAAATTGGATGGCTCTAGATACCGTTGTTTTATCACAATGCGAGAATATACATACATTTATGCAGATTTTTCTTATTTAATTTCTTCAAATATAATGGACTTCTAACATTTTGTGGCAACAGTTTGAAAAGTGAACTGATATTTATAGGAATCCGACGCAAAATGCCATAACGAAAATAATAGTCTTTCGGGAACTCAAATCCCTTTGGACTAATAAAAATAAAAACTTACCCTTAAAATGCAGAAAAAATTAAAATTCTACAGTTAAAAAAATCTTTGAAATTTCAAAATAATCTTTATACAAAATTTTGCAAGAACTTCTAATCAAACACCAGTGTGATGATGGAAAAACATCGAAGATATTTTTAATGTTTTCACTTTGTATTTTTGCCATTTTCCTTTGTTTCGGGAGGGGCCAGAATTTTCGGGTGAATCATTATAATTAAAATGCATTGGAATGGTTCATCAGCTAATTTTGAATACAGAAAAGCAAGGATTTTTTTATTGAAGAGAGATTTTAATTGGTTTCAATGTTTCCGCCTCCTGATGACGTGGCATTGAAATTGATTGAATTCCTCTTCTTTCATTTTTTTTTTTTTTTTTTTTTTTTTTTTTTTTTTTTGTTCATTAATTGTTTGAATATTGTTTTTACTTGTTTGAAGAATTTTAGTTTTAACATTTGTTTAATTCTTCTTTATAGGATTTTTTGGATTTATAGGATTTTTTTATTTATTGCTAATGAATTTCAATTTTGGTCTTTGTGAAAAATTAGTTCTGAATTTTTCTTGATATATTAAAATTTATATATATATTATATATTTTAAATTTTTTTAGGCTCAGAATATTTACACGAAACATTAATATTATTTAATTTAATTTCTAGCTTGCTTTCTTTCGCCGTTTCCTGGGATTTGTTCCTTTATTGATGCTACGCAGACAAGACAAAGTCGGAGGGAAGTTACTTTCATTTAAGGAAGATTCTTGCTTTAAGAAACTTGCCTGCGAAATAATATCTCGGCCTTACCAAAATATTGCAGACCTCACAAGTGCCAGGAAATCTGATCTATTTCAGTAAGCTAGATTTTAAATTCTTTAGTTGTAATTAATTGCAACACAAAACAGCGATAAGTGGTCATGTAGACAAGAAGATCCCAGCCCACCCTATATAGTACAAAATGCCTTTATTGTTATCCTCTTAGTTTTGTATAGACATTTTATTATAATTCTTCCCCTGGACTGGAAATTAGACATATTTTAAAATTTTATAAAACAAAGTGCATTTTTAACTATTTTAATATCTGAAATAAAAGCCCTAAGAAAGGAAAACATAAAATTTCTTTTGACCTAGAAGTAATGACAGTGGAGATATGTTAGCAGACAATTTAAATATCTTACATGACACATAATGTCTGTAGATTTTGATTGATTAAATATGTTCATTGTAATGGGAAGATCATATTTTATCATTTTAAAAGATTACTGACCGTTTAATAGCTTGTACTCTTTTTCATGAAATTGCACGATTTCTTAATTTTTTTTCCCTGCTATAGAACATTTATGGAATAGTTACAATCATCTCCGTTAATAATGATAAAAGCAGAATGAAATTTACTCGTAAATAAATCAAAGATTTAAAGGAATTAATTTTGATTATTATTTATTAATTTTATTAATTTTGATTATCATTTATTAATTTTGTATAAATTTAAAAAAACATCATTTCTTTCAAAACACCTTGCTGAGTTTCAGTTAAATAATTTACATTATCAATGTAATTAAATACTATTTCTACGTCTTCTGTTTATAATTTATGTTACTAATATTTCAATCAATTTACTGGATAACATTCTCTCACGTATCTGACAGGGTTCGTACGGTCCTTAAAAGTCCTTAGGTTTTTTGGAATCGATTTTTGGTCCTTAAAAGTCCTTAATTTCAGCCAAAATTGGTAGAAGGTCCTTAATTTTAATCATCCGAAATTTGTGTCTTGTTCTTACGACTGCTATTTTGAGTTTGAATTATCATTATGGAGGAATATTTTTGACAATTCAAGTCACAAATATGATTATCTTTAGAATGGGTTCATGGGTTATAATTTGTTCCTATTAAGGGGTGAGATACTGGAGCTTCTGAGCAAGGAGTCAAACATAAGCATTTCAAAATTATTTCATTTTTTTTCTAATGAAGAGCATTTAAACAACTTTCTGCTTTTGGAAATGTGAATTCTTTTATTAAACTGCTCTAAACTTGGCGACTTATCAACATTTTGGAGATTTTAAGATTAATTTCTGTAGAAAATTTTTAATTCGGTGATTTCTGGAATTTTTCGATGATTTTTTTTGGGGGGGGGCATTTTAACATTGCTAAATTGAACTAAAGTAATGTTAATATATTTAAATTACATTTAAGATATAATATCAAAATAAAGAATTTTTATTTCCTTTTGCTGTTATATTATAAAGTGGCATTACTTTCCATTTTGGTGATTTATTATATAGTATTTTGAATCTGAAAAATAAACAAGGTAAAAAATGCTATAAAGCACAGTTTACAAAACAATTCATAGCAAAAGCTATAAGATATTTCTCCCACTTTCCTAGCGTGCCTTCGTGGTGTAACGGTAGCACGCTGGGCCCGGTATTCCAGAGGTCCGTGGTTCGATTCCCGGCGAAGGCGGTTGCAAATTTTTCATCTTTTCTGCTTCCAATTAACCTAATGACTCTACAAGTGGCGCCCGACCTAAAAAGGATTGTGGATGATGATTCTCCGCACCCAGGATTTGGCGACTAGGTCCTCTAAAACCCTAGTCGCCCTTTAAAAAGGGGAGTATATAAGGTATTTCTCCCACTTTCCTAGCGTGCCTTCGTGGTGCAACGGTAGCACGCTGGGAGTTATTACAGAGGTTGTGGTTCGATTCCGGCGAAGGCGGTTGCATATTTTCATCTTTCTGCTTCAAAAAAAAAAAAAAAAAAGAAAGAAAAGAAAGAAAGAAAGAACTACAAAACTACAAAGCAAAATAAGCTATAATTAAATTTCTTCCTTTAATTTTTTCGTGGTAAGAATGTTTCCCATGTATTGTCTCAGAATATTCATGAATTGTCAGAATATGTATCAGTTTTCTCTACAAAATTAATTTTTATACTTTTTCCTCTGATTTTTTTTTCCCCCAAAATATTTCTAGCCGTTTTTCTCTTGAAGAATTGGTGAGGCTAATTTTTCTTTAGGATAAAAATTTGAAGGCAAGATTTACAGACCCACAGTTCTAGAAGGCTCCAGAAAAAATTGACAAAATGAAAATGTCTTCATTGTATTAACACATAATGGATGTATTTTACAGAAAGTTTGTGATGAATTTCTTACATTTTGGGAAATTTTTGGAAGGACAATGAAAACATAATGTTTGAATGTTGTACTTCTGATACAAGAAGTCCTTTTCTTAACATGTTTATCTTCCCTTTAGTTTCTCAACTTTTCACTAGACACAAGTGTGGAAAATATCAAAAATGTTACTAATCTTCTCGCATGGACATTTATAAAAAAGAATTTTTCTATTAATAAAGAATTTGAAAACTGATAATTTAAAAGATTCACCTTGTAGGTCTCAATGGATCATACACAGGGCTGACGCAAGGCATTTTCCCACCTGATGAAATCTCCGTGGATCCGAAATTCTGCTCCCACTGCCTGACCTAACTTCTAAAAGTTTTGCTATTTCTAGATTTTTGTTGCTCGGTGTGTCACTAAATTCTAAAAATTCTATCTCATAGGCCCTGAATCCAGACCTTACTACACATTATTTCATATTTATCAGCTTTTCCTTTACATTTTAAATGCGTTTGGTTTTTTAGAAAAACAGAAATCTTTAATTAATTCCAAAAATTCTGAAATGAAGAGGAAACGAATTTAAGAAAGAAACTGAATAATCATAAAGAGGAGAAAAATTATTTTTCGATGATAGGTACAGTTATTATTATGAAAATTAACCAGTTGTTTATAATTTTAGCCTTTACTATAAGTTCCCTTTCCCGTTTCCTCAACATAATGCAAATCAGATAGTTTTTAAACTGAGGTTTTTGGACTGAAAGACAGTGTTTTTGCCCTCCACTTGGATGTTGCATTAGTTTCTGCCAGCTATGATAATTTGTAATATTCATCTTTGCATTATCGCCGCTAACATTTGAATTTCTTACGACGATAGAGTTACGAAGCCAGCTTAGATTAAAATTAATATGTGTAGTCTGCGAGTACTAGTCGACATTTTTAGTTTGAATTTGACTGTTCCTTTTTAATTGCATCACTACAAGCTATAGTTGATTTTATCAACATAGAAACGTGCCTGTACGTTCTATGTTCTTTTTAAAGGGTGGTAGAATCCCAAAATCTTCAAAAAATTGTGATTTCGGATTTTTGCATTTTCAAATTCTCTTCACTTATCTTTCTAAAAACCATTCTTTAAATCTCTATGAAAATTAAAAACTGTAAAAAAATTAGTTTTAATTTGTCTCTACTGCTTTGATCAATGAGGATTTTTACATAAAACGCGTTTTTTCTCCAAACGTGATTTTTTTATACTCGATTACCTTTTCTCAGGACTACTACTCACTCACAGGTATCTAAAACCTTTGGCTTATTATTAGTTCGCTAATATTACTGAAATGAACGTTTGTAAAAACTTAGAAGAAAATTTTTTTTAATTTTTTTTGTGTGAGAAAGTGCTAAATTTTAATATGCCTAACAAAATATTCTGTATAATTTACTCTAAAATTCAAAATGTTTCAAAAGCTGATTTCAGTATAATCAGATAAGTATACTTTAATTACAAAAAAATTTCAAGCTTGTATCTACAGCAGATTTTGAGAAAAGGTACATCAAATATGGCCAATTTAGCATTGTCGGTATAGGGGTTTCTGATACACCTTAAATAAAGTTTATTAAAGTTCTTTTTAAATAAAGTAAAATGTTTATTTTAACCTTTATGTGACTTCGTTGTTACTTTCAGACATAGCGATAATTTGCTTCATGTCTATAAGAGGTTCTAGACTATTTAACTATTACCAGATCAAGTAAAAACTTCGTTACGTACAATGTTAAGAGACTGGCAAATTAGGAGATAAAGCCCACAACTAGTGGGAACATTGGATTGTGTATTGAAACAGATTTTTAATTGTTAGGAAAGTGTTTAAAAGGGAAAAAATTGATAGAAATTAAGCCAAAATGTCTGGGAAGGCTTCAAATTAAAAAGACGCATAAATATTTTGGTTATGTGTTGTTGTAAAACTAAATGTTTAAGCTTTTACTGTGGAATCCCCTTAATACCGTTTAAGAATCAAGGATGAATGAGAAAACTATCAGTTAAATTACATGCAATTTTAACCGTGAAGTTACTAGATTTGGGAAATAGTGCTTTTAACAAATTTTTAAAAATTAATAAAGTTAATATAGTGGTGAAATCTATAACGATTAAGGGTATTTAACCACCTAATTTAATTATTTGTAGCTAACGCTACCTTTAAAAAGTTATTCTGCATATTAAGCAAGTTATTGCCTTTCATAATCCTTCTGTGTCAAAGATACAGCACAAAAATGGAAAAATTAATGTAAAACTTATTCTTTGCATCTAGTGAGACTTAAACATAATTTAATAATACAAAATAACTTATCACCTTTGGTGCATTAGTGGCTTATTGGAACCTTAAAATATATTAACTAGGTTACAATCCCAGGAACTCTACATAAAGCTATAACACTAACTGCATCAGAACAGATAGAGCACAAATAACTTTCAAAACTTGCCAACCTCAAAACTACATCAGGCTTTTAGGTTTGTTTTGATCAACAGATCTCTCTCTAGGCAAGCAGCAGAACTGGCAACAGCCAATCTGCTGTTAAGAAGCATGCTGATTATGATTTTATTTCTCATTTTAACCTATGCCATTTGGCATAAAAATCTACCTGCTATTTACTAAACCTCTAGACTAAGTATGTGGCAAAATGAGACATAAAAAAAATCAACATAAAGCTAACTGTTAGTAAAATGTAAATAAAATATCCCTAATCTTCTTTCAGATATGTCCACCTATTATACATGTAAAATATTTAATGCTACCTGATAAATTTTATAAAGTAGATTTTATTCTCAAATTTGTTTTATTGTTATGTTTATTAAATTATGTTTAATAAGAATGCATCCTATTTGCGGATCTATTTTACTCTTAGAGGGTTATTACAAAAGCGAAGTTCAGACATAAGTTGACTGAATTTTACTTGAATTTATTCAGCTCCCATTTACTGATAGGTCCTTAACCTTTTTCACAAATGGTCCTTAAAAGTACTTAATTTCCATGTGCAGAAAGGTCAACGAACTCTGGATCTGATAACGATGTACTAAGTTAGTTCGAATTACAATCCCAATAATTCGAATATTCCATGCTGAAAATATAATAAATGGAATATTTTGCCCACTTATGAGTATTTATGATGCATGTTGTAACAACAAACTGAAACTTTCGAAAACAATAAAGTTTATAATAATGATTTAAGAAAATGTTTTGTTAATTTTTATTGCTTGCTTATTATTTTCAATATAATATTCTCTCAATAATCACATTAAGAGCATATGAAATTAAAAACTTATTGAGAAAATTATTTGTTTATTTTGTGGAATTTTCTTCATCTTCATTTTATGTGAACACATTTAAATCAGTTTTATGTTGATTTTCATAATTTATTTATTAAGTAAAAAAATATTGAAAACCTCGTTTATCAGTGGAGTCATGGTAAAATAGAAAGTGATTCACAAAAAAATTTACCATATAGTAATTATAATAAATACTGTAAAAAAGTAAGTAGTAGTGCGTAAAGGATCTTTCCAAGTTTACGCTCATAATAGATAGTAGCGTCATTAGGTTATTTTGATGCAGAAGACATGAAAAATGAGCAATGGCCTCACTGGGTCTCGAATATGCACCGAGTGTGCCAACCGTTACACCACGAAGGCATGCTTGATATAAGGAGAAAATATCTTATATACTCCCCCTTTTAAAGGGCGATTGGGGGTGAGGGACCCAGTCGACAAATCCTGGTGGTGAAAAATCATCATCCACCACCTTTTAGTTCGGGGGCCACTGTAGCGTCATTAGGTTATTTTGATGCAAGAGACATGAAAAATGAGTAATGCCCTCGCGGGACTCCAACCTGGATCTCTCGAATACGCGCCGAATGTGCTAACTGTTACACCACGAAGGCATGCTTGAAAGAAGGAGATAAAATAATTTTAGTTTTAACCGCTAAGTGGCAATCATGATACTAGGTGGCATTATAACGCAAGGTATTTTCTGTTGAACAAAAGAACTTAGATAAAAAGAATACCATCCTTGCCTATTCAGAGGTATTCACTGCATCTTGGATTTCGAAAATCTTATGCGAATCATGAGTCGATTATGATTATACAGTGAAGATTTTCTGCAAAATATCAAACATGAGTGGTTCAAGCAGATTGTCTCCTTGTGCCAACAAACCTTCCCGAACTTGATTCTTTATTTAATGATATGCTCCATTTTGTTGTATTATTTATAGTTACTGTGTAAAAAATTTCTAAAATCACAAAGGTAATTGTAAATCATCATTTATTTCGGCTGAAAATTCTTATTAATGATATAATGGATAAAACGAAAAGAGGCTGAAATCTGTAGTTTACATTCCTACAATCTTCAGTTTATCGTTTTTGTGGCATAAAACATTTCTAAGAAAGTTTCATGAACGTACAAGTCCCTGTTCATGTTAATTAAAAGAAATAACAATCATAATTGATGCCCAGATAAAACTTCGGTCAGTTTACAGTACTATACACTGCAGTTTCAGAAAGATTCTGCTTCTAAATATCTTTTGAATGAATAATCGTAGATCCGTGGTTCTAGTAACTGGATGGTGTATTTAATTATGGCGAAGCACACTAAAAGATTCTGCTTCTAAATATCTTTTGAATGAATAATCGTAGATCCGTGGTTCTAGTAACTGGATGGTGTATTTAATTATGGCAAAGCACACTAAAAGGTTCTGCTTCTAAATATCTTTTGAATGAATAATCGAAGATCCGTGGTTCTAGTAACTGGATGGTGTATTTAATTATGGCAAAGCACACTAAAAGATTCTGCTTCTAAATATCTTTTGAATGAATAATCGTAGATCCGTGGTTCTAGTAACTGTATGTTGTATTTAATTATGGCAAAGCACACTAAAAGGTTCTACTTATAAATATCTTTTGAATGAATAATCGTAGATCCGTGGTTCTAGTAACTGGATGGTGTATTTAATTATTGCAAAGCACACTAAAAGATTCTGCTTCTAAATATCTTTTGAATGAATAATCGTAGATCCGTGGTTCTAGTAACTGGATGGTGTATTTAACTATGGCAAAGCACACTAAAAGATTCTACTTATAAATATCTTTTGAATGAATAATCGTAGATCCGTGGTTCTAGTAACTGTATGGTGTATTTAATTATGGCAAAGCACACTAGGGCTATCTGCCTGAGGGGAGGAATGCCTTCGTGGAGGACTTTCTAAGGGAAACTAGCTCGTATACACGTTACAGATGGGAAAAACCACGAAAAAGCCCATGCAGCCAGCCCATTCGCGGGATTCGAACCTCGGACCGAACTACCACTGTTCAGCGACTTTACCGCTCGGCCACTGGTGAGCCCTCTAGTAACTGGAAACTTTAATACCTAAACTAATGATGTCTTGTATTTGAGAGCAAAGTTGTAATTCGGAATTCTTTTAGCTTTCACTCATATGCATTTCTATTTATTTGCATTGATATTTGCAAAATCTAGCTTAAAATAATGATACTGAACAGTTTAATTTTTTGTTACTATATTAAAATATCATAATTTAACATAAGCGTCCATTTTAAATAAATGATGATTTTTTAATCGTTTAATATACGGTAATATGTTAATGACTTTTGTATGCCTTATGCTAATAATTTTTAATGTTAATGATGATGTTTCTTTTTGATTTCCTAATGGATTTAGACACTTTCGAAATATCAATTTCTGAAGGAAAACCGAATTACCGTTGAGTAATATGCAAATATATCTGTTAGAAAGTTAAAAATATAAGGCTTTATAGGAATTAATTTCAAATCCCGTCTATCAGATACGTATTCGCCTCTTTGTCCGAAGTGTAAAATTTTATATAAAAGAATTCAGTTAGCATTTCAAATGGATATTAAACAGTAAATGCCTATCCAAATTGTGCATATTCTAAAAATATTGCGGTTCGATGCCTCTTACCTAATCCTTGATCAATAAGTCAAAACTTAAACGAAATTAAGCATGCCTTCGTAGTGTAGTGGTATCCACGATGGGCGCGTATTCCAAAGGTCCGTGGTTCAATTCCCGGCAAAGGCGTTGCTCCTTCTTCCACACCCCTGCTTTAAAAATAATTTAATAACTCTAGAGTGGCACTCGAACTAAAAGGGTGGCGTATGATGATTCTCTACACCCAGAATTTGGCGATTGGGTTCCCTAAAAACCCCAATCTTCCTTTAAAAGGGGAAATATATAAAGTATTTCTCCCTCCTCCTTAGCATGCCTTCGTAGTGTAGTAGTCTGCACGCTGGGTGCTTATTCCAGAGGACCGTATTCAATTCTAGGCGAGGGCATTGTTTATTTTTCATTAATCGAACCACGGACCTCTGGAATATGCACCCATCGTGCATACCACTACACTATGAAGGCATGCTAAGAAGGCAGGAGAAATACCTTATACCCTATTGATATTTTAATTGAAGACGTCTATGCAGATGAAGGTTATTGGAGAATTAGTAAGTTTTTAGTAAAAATAAGCTCATCATCTGTTGGTAACATTTAAATGTCACGCATTTTCTGCTTCCAAAAAAACCTAATGTTATTCACAGCATGGGTTATTCTTCAAAGATTGGCTTAGATATACAGTTTGAGAAAATATGAATATGAAATTAAATCTTCATATTAAAATGTGTTGTTTTTCTTTCTCTAGGCAAAGGCTGGATGATGCGGAAAGAAAACTACTGCTATCTATAACCCTCTCTTCAACTGAAGAAAACGACCTTTGTAAAAAAAGGTATAGTTCTTGCCCTTATAGCTCCAGGGAAATGCTAGAGGCCATGAAAAAATTCCAGAAAATGAAGGGTGAACTGAATATTCCACGAATTGTGACTTCAGATATATTCAAATATCCCAAAGGAATATCCTGACGCTTGCAGAAGACATATTCTGAGATCGTTTCCTCTCTCTCTCTACCTCAAAGTTCGAGAATTGATCGATGATATGGAACGAAATCTTGTGCGATGTACTTGTTGGATTTCTAGCGGTTGTGTTGTTGCTTATTGCATTGTTGCTTATTTTATGAGCTTAGACTTTTACTCCGTTATCATGTCACTTCATTTCGTTATTATAAGAATGATTTGGACATAAGGAACTTCTGAACGCTATGACCAAATAAGTCCGAAGGTATAATAACGTCTGTAATTTAACCACGCAACCATCCGTAACAAAATGTATAACAAATGTTCAGATCGCAGAGAGGTAAACAATATATGACAGGGTATATGAAACCTATAACTACGAAACAACAAAAAAGAGAAAATGCCGATATTAATGTCTAGTAATAATTTACAAATATATACGGACAAACTACTATTATGGTTAAATTACGGACGAATTTTTGTCATGGTTAAATGTCTTGAATGATGAAGACATTAAAAGGGTAATTTTAATGCGCTGCCTACATTCGCTGCAAGTTTTTATGTTTTCAAAATGTACAGTGCATTATTTATGTTGCAATAAACATCGTTTTACCTTGAGAACATGAAAATAAAATCTAAACTCATTTACTTGTACTGTAATTTGATTTTGATTTCTCTTTCTATAGCTCTGGAACCTATTAAAATCTGCAAACTAGTAAATATAATGAATGAGGGTATTAACGTGCAATCTAAGGCAAATGTCTGTGGAATTTTTTACAGTATTTTTTTTTTTTTTTTCTGTTATAAATTAAAGAAATTATTCCGTGAACACACATTCGCAGCAACGTTCAGTTTGATTCATTCAAGAACTGCTATGCTTTTGATGCTTATTCACACTTTTACAAACATTGAAGATATATAGTCAAAAGATGAGAATTCCAAATATTTTATGTTTTGTGAATACCTAGAGAATCTTCATATAGTATGTAGGAAGTTTTATTACTTGCGAATTAAGTGCAACAAGTAAGTTCGCCTAAAACAATACCTTTTTAAAAATAAACTATTCAGTGTTAATTTTGTATAGCTTAAACCAACAAAAAGACATTTCACATACATAAATTGCCAAAAAAAGTTAGTTTTACTTGATCTGCGTAGAAGAATAAGATGTCGGAAGTATCTAATATTTAAAAATCATTAGAATTCTGCTGTAATTTCATCTATAAATTTTATTCTACTTTAACCTTCTGCGCATAAATATAATTATGGTATTAAAATATATTACAAAAATAAATCTGGGGTACATTAAAATGTGCACTTAATAAAAAAATTCTGTTTTTGACATTTAATGAAGGTATATGTGACCGCAGTCTGAAATAATAAATTAAGTAGCTGAGAGATTCTACTAACTAAAAGAAGAATACGGAATAATCGGCCTTCTTCTCAAAAGAAAAGAATCATTGATTAATAACAATCGCTGAGGCTAAAGAAGAAAAGTTAATTTTAAGTTAGAAAAACTAATTTAATACTAGCCTCTAAAAATTTGGATTATATTCCCTTTATTTCTCTTAACTTCTGTTTAAACTACTATAATACAAAATTTACAAATAACACTTTACTAAATAATATACAAGTATTAAATATGCAAACAACTTCGTGTTTTAAGTATAAAAAATAGCTTATACAAAATTGAAAATATTCGTATAATGAAAAATACTAATCACGGGCAATGCTAGTTACACTACAAAACAAAATGTGCAACAAGTGTCCCAAATTCAGATAACAATATGTGATACAATATATGAGAACTGTAAGAGGAACAAATACTGATATTAATATAGAATAACAATTTACAAATGTAGAAAGATATTGCTTTCGGTAATAAATTTCAGAAAGGCTGAATCCTATATTTTCATTTATCGTGCAACAATAGCCTATAAACTGAATTAGTTGACGTACTTTATAGGAAAAAATTCTGTTTTATGTTTAGGAATGATGGACATGTTGCAAAGATGTTAAGATTGGCATCATCTTATGAACCTAACTTGCATTATTGTTCCATAACTTGCATTATTGTTCTAAAATGCTCGAAAAAATTCTAGAACACATTATATCTCTGATTTAGTTTATGAAGAGCTGCACAAATGGTATATGATGGTTAGGGAAGCCGATTGCGATACAGAAGGGCCCGGGTTAGAATCCCGGAGAAGGTACGGATGTAAATTGTTTGTCCCCTCATAGGAACTAATAGTGATCTCCTATTAGGTGCTTCCATAATAAAATTACCACCACTTCTGGCCTTAGTAGTGATGAAAGCATAAAATTGGCTAGTGCCAACCATAAAAAAAACAATAATAAATAATAATAATAATAAATAAAGGTTTCAGATTTTAAATTACGTCCAAAGAGGCGTTTTTTTAACATTTTGTGTGTTAGCTTTATTTATTAAATACTAGCAGCTTCGCTGCCAGCCTTCGTCTGGCTTTAAATATACCGGAAAATGGCGAAAAAGGAACACCAAACGTTAAATTAAAAACGCGTAGAATTTTACTCTACAGAACAACTTCATAAAAAAAGGTTATTACGTGTAACAAAATACAATGAAATAAGCAATATCCCTAATATAAATATTAATTATCCTTAATGAATAAATTAAACAACTTCTCTTTCAAAATCTTAAGAACTCCAAATGGTATAAAGAAGGTTAAGAACTTGTTTCCTCCAAAAAACACTCAAAACTTTTCAATATCTTAAAAACAGTGAAATGAGCAATAAAAACATGGCAGAATACAAAAAAACAAAAAATTCTGAAAAGCAAGTATAATTAATGATATTTTATCTTATATTTCAAGATAAAAATTTACAATGAAATAAGCTATATCCTTAATACAATATTAATATCCTAATAAAAATTAACCAACTTTCCGTTGAAGAAAAAAAATCATGCAAAACTTTTCAATATCTTACAAACAGTGAAAAATAGCAAAAAATAACATGAAAACAACTCAAAAACATAAAATTCCGCGCAGAATTTTTACTCTGCAGAACAACCTTTATCAAAAAAAATCAATAAAAATGTATTATATATATATAATATATAAAATGACAATGAAATATGCCGATCTCTTTAAAAACAGACATAAGAAATACGATGAAAAAATTGTTGCCAAACCCTTATTTCTAAAAGAATGAAACTATTCAAAATGATGCGATTCATCAAAAATCTATCAACAACAATAAGACAGAAAATTGTTGCCAAAATCACATTTTTAAAGATGTGAGATGTGAGAAGTATACTCGGAAGCTTCATTTAAAAAAAAATTTTAAAAAATACAAAAGATCATCTTTTCCAAAATCTTTTTGTAAAAGCAGCGAAAGGATGAAATTTGACGTGTCCAAAAATTCAAAGAAAAATAAACTGTACATTTTAAATAAACTTTTTTAGAAAAAATCCGTTGAAAGATGTTAAGCTCCTTTGTTAATAAATTCGTATTTAATGATATTAAAACGCGAAATTTATTTTAAGTTCGTAAAATAGTTAAGGCCTACGTTTATGTACAAATTTCGTAGCCATGGATCTATTAGCTACGCGCAGCGAGCTACAGACACAAACACAGACTCGTTCTTTTATTATATGTAGAGATCATGTTCTTTAGAATTTCCGGTAACAGTCTGCGCCGCTGGAGATAAAAGTTTTTTTTTTTTTTTTTTTTTTTTTTTTTTGTATAACGTTGCCATTGCGCTTTGAAATCCTTGAGTTGTTAATCAAAAATCCTTAAAGCTTATAAATACGATCGTAAAACAAATTCAAAGTTCAAATTATTACTTCTCGATGCCCATATTTGCAGGAGGATTACGTTATTCAAAACTGGATGGCTCTAGGTACCGTTTAAAACGTCGTTTTATCGCAATACGAGAAACATACATACATTTATGCAGATTCTTCATTATTTAATTTCTTTAAATATAATACAGGGCGATACTATTTGGTGGCAACAATTCGAAAAGTAAAACGACGCTTGTTGTGAATCATCGCAAAATGCCAAAACGAAATTAATAGTCCTTTTGGGGAATTTGCGCCTTTAGACTAAAAAAATAATTTTATAAAGTAGTTGTTAACCCCGTAATGGAATTTTCAGCTCAGTGAAGTAGCCCGTACTTTAACCCACCTTGTTCAGAGTTACCTCATAATGTTTGTAATTACTTAAAAAATCCTTTCTAAATAGATAATTTCACAAAACCTTCTTAGCATTTTCATTTCTAAGGAAAATTTATTTGATATTATCGTCTTGTTCTAAAGAGTCTAACTGTTCATTTATGCCTTATACCCCAGCGTTATTTTGAGGAATCTTCTGAATGTTTTATAGACATCTCAGACAATGCAGTGTACTCAGACATTTACAGTGTACTACAAACTTCCAAGAAGCGAAATGAAATTTATTTTGTAACGCTTTAAATAGTGTATTCTATCCTCAGAAGATTTATCCGCACTTTATATTTTCAACCTTATGTCATCTTTGAAATCAACTTTTAGCAACAAAAATAAAAGTGTTAGCTATATTTGCATTTTGAGGAGATATTCTGAAGAATGCTTCAAGATAAGGGTTTCGTAAGATTTGAAATATGCGCACAGTTTTCCTTACTCCGTTATTTTGATGTAGATGAATAATGAGGAATTTGTAGTATTTTTTTTTTTTTTTTTAGTATGGACCGGCAAGTACACAGTTTTCCTCTTTCAGATGTGTTCCTGGGCTTTAATTGCGTTCAAATGTGGAAACTTTGTAAAAATAAATAAATGCAATTAATTCAAAGTGAAAAGTTCTTTTGATTTCCATTTGCTTATGCTGCACTGTTCCGTAACAGTTCCGAAACCAGTGACTGATGTAAAGCCAGTTCGTCGCTCGCGCTAATTCATTTCAAGGTCAGTGATGTCATTAAAGGTGCAAGTAAACGATATCGGAGTAAATTGCTTTGAAGAGCTTCTTCGGGTAATCAAATGAATTTGCAGTCATTGGAAGTTTTGCTAGATGATAATAGGAAGCTTTCCTGTTCGAATTAAGCATTTGCGGTTTGAAGATTGAGATAGCCGTACGACCTGATTTTATCTAGTTGCATCCTGTTTTACTCATGATAATATCTAAAGTACTATTTATATTCTTCAGTTATGACATTAGTTAAAGGTAACTTAATATACATAGCAATGTGGGAACAATCATTCTTATGGAATCATTATCAATTCTTATCAATCATTCTTATGGAAGCCAGTGTCTCACAAAAAACTTCCTAACAAAACCTTCATAACGATTTTAAATTCTACCAGGACAATGACCCCAAGCACAGTGCTTTCAACGTTAGACTCTGGCTGCTGTATAACTGTCCTGAAATAATAAAAATACCACCACAATCTCCAGACTTAAATCCCAAAAAGAATATTTGGCAAGATTGGAATCAAGAATCGCAACACACCATTTCTAAAAACAACAATTAAAATCGGTGCTTCTCTAGAAGAATGGGGAAAACACTCCCAGAAATCACAAAAAAATTAGTCGAATCCATCCCAAGAAGATTAAACCCTTTTAAAAGTAAAAGGAAATCCAACAAAATATTAAAACCTTCTAAAAAGTAAAATTTTTGGATAAATATTTGATGGA